TTATTATTATTATTATTATTATTATTATTATTATTATTATTATTATTATTATTATTTTTTGTTCATTTTTTTTTCTTCTCTGTACGCGTGTGAGTGTACGTGTGTGTACGTGTATGTATATATATGTATGTATGTATGTATCATTATTTTTTTTTCCTTTTAAATTTTTGGTTTGCTATGTAGATGGTTCATTGGGTGGTTCCCTCGTTTAGCCCGGTACGGTTTCTCTTTCTGTTTTTATTCTTTTTTTTTTTCTTTTTTTTTCTTAATTTGTTTTTCGTCCTACCCCCCCCCCCTCCCCCCTACCCCCTCCCCTCCTCTCGGCCCCTCTACCGGAAACAAAACAATGAAAAGAAAAAGGAATAACTTTGTCGCTGGACGAATGATTCGAGCGACGTGAATCGAATGATCACGATCGCTGCCTGTCGAAAAGTCAACGGCGTAGTCTCTCGCGAGAAATATCGCCCGTCTTCGGCCCGCCCCCTCGTGCCTGCCCGCCCACCCGCCCACTCCCTGATCGACGAACGACAACCAACGCGTGCCCACGATGCTCGTCGATACGCGGAGGATAATTACGAACGGATGCAACGCGACGATTAATCAATCTGGCGTGTCTTCCGTCGAGTGAACCGCCCTCTCTTGCTGCATTCGGCGACGATCCTCGTCGCCGGAGCCAGCTGATCGATAGAAACTCCAGATTGCCGCGCCTATGATCCATGATATCGCGACGAAAGGAAGGAAACCGAAGGAAAGACGTAGAGAATAGGGCTTCGAAAAATGTTTGGAATATCGATCAATTTGGTTGAGGTTTCGTTTTCATTCCGGAAGAAAGGTAGACAGTGGTGGGGATGACTCGTGAATAATGAGGCTAGATCCGTGACAAGTGAAAATAGAAATGCAAATGGACGTTCGCGAGTAGGAGGTGATTTTCTCAAGCTTGGAAAAGATCTTCACTAGATAGGAAGGTTTGAGCTCGAAGGAGAGGTGTGAATCTGTTAGGGCGTCGAGCTGACCCAAATCCCGCCGTTTATATTTGATGTGTCGGCCGCGGTAAATCTTCTGCAACAACCAATATGATTGCGTTTCACTATAGATAAGGTCGATTGTTGATACAACAACGACATGCGGGAGTATCATTACGTTTAATATTAAAAAGTCGCGGCTTGCCTTGCTGAAAATATTTCATTCGGCTTGGTCGCTCTCTCGGTGGGATTTTGGGTTTCTCCGTCGCCCCCCTCTTCCCTGTTTCATTCTTGTCGCATCGAGGGACCGCCCCAAACTAAGGAACCGCCCCCTCCTATCGCGCGTTGGCTGTCGTTCGCGCCTCACGTGATCGTTACGCCCCTTCCCGCATCAAATGTAACCCGAACATCTCGTCGTCGATCGTCCAACTTCTGCAACGTTCTCTCTTCGGAGATCATACGTCATCGCGTTCGTTCAAACACATTTACTAGCAGTAGCATCAGAGATCTGCCCTTCTAAGATGATCGTGATGTAAAAAAAAAATGTGTAACTCCGGTTGTGGACTATCCCTTACAATTTGATATAACGCGGAGATCAGATGTGCAGTCCTGACACGCCTAGGTCGCATGTACCGACCAATAGATGACACGGGCGTTATCAAGGCGGCGCTATGTCCCGAATAGGACACGCCCTCTTCCTCAGACTGAACATTCGAACTCCGCCACGCGTGTACGTGTCAAGTAATCTTCAAATACCGCCCCAACAGATTTCTTTGTAGCCATAGTGTGCGTTTCGAGGGCGGAGCAAAACAAATTCCCACCAATAGGAGCCGCATTCACTCCAAGGGCGGATCTCTCTTGCATCCGCGAGTACAGTTCGTTTCATAGCTCGCGCGCGCGTTCGTCGAGGGTACTCTCTGCGAGAAAAATCTACAAACACGGATTTCGGTTCGCCCCAACCGTCGAAATCGTCCTATCCCAAAAAAGGTTAACGTTGGTTTTTATTTTCGTGTTTATTTTTCTTACAAACTAACGCCGTTTAAACCACTTTTTTTTTTTTTTTTTCAAGAGATCACTCGTTACGTTTGGTAATCAGTCTATCTGGTCTGCGTAAACCTAGCCCACGAAACCTCCTCTCCCCTTTCTCATTTTCGTCCCGAGAGCGTCACGATCGCCCCAACCGCGTCCCCACTGTTACACAGAGTCCCGATCGACGATCGAAAAACGCTTGATCCGGTCGAAAGATCGCGGATCGAGGCGTTCCCCGCGCGAGACCCTCGATCGTTTCAGCGAACGGACAGCTGGTGACCCAAACCTCGCTTAGGTTACGAGAGCAGAGTCCCACTCGAACCGCAAAGTGGAAACTCGGAGCTCCAACTAGACAGCTGATCACCAGAGTCACCAGCTATTGTGTAACAGGCGTTACTCCGTGGTATCGGTAGCGAAGGATCGATCGATCGATTTCCCTCTCGGAGCTCTTTGGACCCTTGTACGACCTCATTTTCTTCGAAAACGTTGTCTCGTACCACGTACTCCGTTAATTCGCTCTCTTTCTCTGTCTACCCCCACCCCCCCCCCCCCAAATTACGCGCCAGTAACATTGTTCCCCGTTTAACGTGCGTCACGCCTTCCTCGCAGCTCCTCCCCCCTTCCTCGCCCCTCAGCCTCCAACTGGTCTGCGTATGCCGTTGTTGTTGTTGTTGTGTTGTTGTTGTTGTTATTATTTTTGTTTTTTACGCCGTCGTTCATTCAACGCGGAAAAAGTGGCGTTGAAAAAAAAGAAACGTAATCTCACGTAACAACAACAGGTGGTAACAGCCTCGAAAACGCCCAACGAGGGACTTACAGAATTTGTACTCTTTGAATGTGTATTACAATGAAACGATGCTTTTGTTTACGTTTACTTATACCATAAGATAATAAGAATTACTTCTCAAACGCCCCATTGGCGGCGCGTAGAGGGTTTCCTTCCCTTAATTACAGTGTTACGTTAGCGTGCACGCGCGCTTACGATTGTTCAAAGTATACGTGTGTTTCGGTTTTTTTTTTTTTTTTTTTTTTTATCTTTTAAACTCATTTTCTGTTATGTCGTTCGCGATGATCGTGTACCTGGGGTATCTCTCGGGGTGTATGTATGCGCGCGCGTGCCGATGCGTGTGTGTCGTATGTAATCTTACATTAGTCGTGTACTTTTTTTCGATTTTCCTTTCGTCCCTATTTGCCTTTGGCGCGTAACGAAGTGGTTTCGTGTGTGTGTGTGTGTGTGTGTGTGTGTGTGTGTGTGTGTGTGTGTTTCACGCGTTGAAAGTTCTACTTTTTTTTTTTCTGAGCTCGGTTAATTAAAACCGCAGGGCTCCCGAAGAAATCCGTCGACGTCGAGCTTGTTCGCAATTAACCGCCTTTGTTCTCTCCCTTCGGGCTTTTCCCCCTCGTCCCTCGATTACGCCAATCCGATACGCGCGGTAGACGTTTGTACGGATCGACTGGTTTCCCATCTTTTCGCGGGTGCAGACTTGGGTATAGACGGGACTACGAGGTTTTCGTCCCGAGGAGGCGTGGCGCGAGATACGCACGCCTTTGACTCCACTCCTTACGGCCGTGTCTCCGCCCACCGCGGCGGCGGCACCGCCCCAAAAGACTTTTCTACATACCCTTTGACTTCGTAGTGTCGAAAAGGAGCCAAATTACGCGCGCGAGGTCGATAGGCGACAGAATTTACAGATTTCGTTTAGTCGCAGTCGTCGAAAGGGCGGAGTCAAGTCTTCCACAGAACGAGGACCGCCTACTCGACGTCGCGTCTATACGCAATTCCTTTTTCTTTTTCTCTACTAAAGATTTTACGTTTTTTTTTTTTTTTCAATTTTTTTTTTTTGTTTGTATATCGTACCCGCGACCGCGAGCAACGAACGCGCGCGACAGCGCTGACGCAGTTTACGCCATGCACCGCTCGCCAACGTCGAAAAATAATAACGTGTCTCGAATCGAGAACCAAATCGCGGAACCGAAAAGCGTAAAACCGTGCTCTAGTTTGTCATCGACGATTGTGCTTCCTTTTCCGTCATCGGATCGAATTCCTCCGAGGCTCGGAACGATGTTTCCGTATCAGGGGGACAAAGCAGACGTCGCGTTGCCCGCGACGCGGCGACGTTTCAACGAAAACGAGACGTGGTGGCTCCTCAACGAAAAGAAAAGAAAAGCGACGAAAACATGAGAATGTGTATATATGTATACGGCGGCGACGACGTTCATGCAAATCAAAAGGATAGACGAGAGCGGCGAGCTTCCGTTCCCACTCGTGGTAGTCACCGCTTTCAAGTAACCAAATCGGGACCGCCCACTCGCTCTATAGCAAGGTGGGCGTTTTTCATCTCGAGATGAGGCCAATATAGCCGACGAATCGCCGGACGTAAAACGTTTTAGGGAGAGGGGGACGATTGCTCGAATTCGGGGGCTGAAAATTCGATCTTGAAAGGGGGGACTATCGCGTTCGGAGATTGCTTCTCGAAGGAGCGACATGGAAAGCGTCGTGGAAGCTCGCGACTCGACGCCACCGAACCATCATTGGGGCTATTCCTCCACGGGTCTCGTCGTCGATTGGTCGGGGACAGGGGGCGCGTACCGACGACGACCTGTCTCCGATCGATCCATGACACGTATCATCAGTGATCGTTTCATCTCTCGTCTCGGTCGAGGAAGAAGCGCTCGGAGTCACCCACTTTAAAATCTACCGTTCGCCGATCTATCTTATTTACTCGTTTCCTCCGTGCCCCAGGCTTCCAATAAATTTGGTCTCCCTTTAAAAATATGTACAATACTCGTCGGCACTCGACAATTTACACGCCGTATTCACCCTAGCTCGCGCTACTCCGCCTGCTCTCCTGCGCTTCTTCCTCGAGCGACGACTCATCTTCCTCCTCATCCTCCTCTTCCTCCTCCTTCTCACGTTCTTGCTCGACGCGTTCTCATCCGTTACAACGCGAGGGTGGTTTCTTCTTTCGCTGTCGTACGTCTCCTCGGCACTGGTCGGTTTCGTTAGTTGCCGCGTATTCGATTCTTCTCGCAGAGACCACCCCGTTGGCGAGATCGCGTGCGCGGGACACTGTGCTTGGCGCCACCTCGAAGTGTCCCTCCGATTGGCGCGTCACGCGACTCTTTTTGGACAGACAGGGGTTCGAGTGGGTGCGTGCTCGCGGCCCGATGTTTCGTGCGGCGATCTTCGCACGCTCCAATGCTTTCTTCCTCCTCATCTTCCTCGTCTTCTTTCTTGTTCCCTGTCTCCTGTCTTCTCCGCAAGCCCACCCTACAGACCGATACGTTTCTTCATCGTGCTCTCTGTTCCCACCGCTTCTTCGTCTTCATCCGCGCCCTCAAGTGCTCCCCCTCCGCTTTCTTCCGCCGCCACCGCGCCATCTCTTTGTCTGCGAACAAGCCCAGAGGTATGGACGTGAGAATTTATTTGTCGAGGATCTGTTGCTCTTTTACTCCCTTCTCGCCAGCGTCGAGGGAGAAGGGTGAAATTTACATTCTACGCGTTCGGCCGGATACGCGGTGGTTTATACTGGACAGCGCGTCAGGGGAGGAAAGTATAGGGATTCTCGCTGTGAAAGGACCGTGTTACTTGAAAATAGATTCGAGACATTTTTATTTTATATTTTTTGTTGTTTACGCGAGGAATCTGACAGCAAAGAGAAATACAGTAGAACCTCGTTTGTACGAACGGAGTCATACTTAGCATAGGATACGGGAGGGCGTAGTTGTGCTCAGTAACCTTTAGCCTTCCATAGTTAAGCTCAGTACTCTCTAGCTTCCTGCAGCTGAGCTCGGTACCCTCTATATCCCTTGACAGCGGAGCTCAGGATTCTCTATCCCCCTGTAGCTGACCTCAGTACCCTCTATATCCCTTGACAGCGGAGCTCAGGACTCTCTATCCCCCTATAGCCGACCTCAGTACCTTCTACTCTCCCATAATTAAGCTCAATACTCTCTATCCCCCTATAGCTGAGCACAGCACCCTCTAGCTCCCTACAGTAAAGCTCACTACGCTTTTTCTCGTCTACCAAAATTAGTGTTTGTGTTTGTAAAAGCAACTATGCCTTCCATCCATTAAAAAGGGGAACAGTGTTGCTTTTCGCCCGAATCGCGCGAAGCCAACGTTCTTTACACGCGAAACGAACCGCGCCTCGGTAATCGAAGAAAGTAAACTAAACGCAGCAATTTGCACGTCGACGGTTCTAAAAACGCGGAAGACGCATCGCTCCCGAGACGTTTCACTTGCCCCGCAGCACGAACATTTGAAAACCGGCCGCGGTAATTTAAAAATGGTCTTTGTGCACGGAAGATGCGCATTTATAAGGCACGGGCTATACACGCCCGGTGAAATGGCTGCCATTCAGTAGGTGCCGTTAAAGATGCTCTTCCGACTCGAGCTTTTAACGCTATTTTATTTAGAACGTGACTTTAATACATCGCCCGGCGTAAAGAAAAAACGAGGAGCGTTTCGGCGTCGTCCATTGTTCGAGTGGCATACAGAATGTAATTGGTGCTAAAAAAAAAAAAAAAAGAAAACATCGAGTGAAAGGACGCAACGGGTCCTCGACGTCGCGTGCTCGCGTATGCAGCCCGATATCTAAAATAAAAAAGTGTCACCCGCAATTTTGAGCAAACGTGGCCCGCTCACAAGTGGCGAAACTGGCAAACGAGACCCGCGATTGTGTCGTCGAAAACACCATGCACCGAGGCGTTGAACGACTGAAAAGTAATTTCAAACGCGGACAAAAGATTCACGTAAAAGAAAGAGAAATACACGGTCGTTGGTCTTGGTATCTCTTATGCCTGACGCCTCTATTCGCGAGATTCGGCAGAATTTCTTAATTAAAATCGCACACTTTAGTTCGCAATTGTATTGTACGTATCAGACGTTCACGCGGACGAGTGCGCGAGCTTGCGGGGCATTATAAATTATGCTCGGGAATCGTTGAAACCTTTTCACCGAATGGCAAGGAAAATTCAACGCGATTTTGAATAAGATATTAATCAGTGTATGGATAGTCGAGGGAGTATGGAATAATGTATTTTTAACGAGATAGTTTCTTTTGGTATGAAGTGACGTTTGCGAGAGGATTTAGGTTAAACGAGGAAATTGGGTTGAATTTAGAAAAGCCGGAGCTTCTATCCTTACCTAAAGATTGTCCATCATTTCGGAAAGGGTCAGCCTGGAGGTGGACATAGCGACGCCACTATCGCTGCTGCTCTGCACGCTGCTGTGATCATCGGTGTCCGATTGGTTGCTCGTATAACCGATCACGTCTACTTCATCTGTAACAAAACAGAGACACACGTTCAACACTGCTTACTTCAACTAAATACTGCCTCCAAGTTTAATACAATCAGATACAAAACAATTTCTCATCCTATCAAATGGAGTGGCGGGAATAGTCATCTTGTACTTGTCTAGTCTTCACTCTGTCATAGCCTAAGAGTTTAATATATACTACATGGAAAATTCTCTTCTATAGCGTAGAATTTTTTTAAATACTCTAAATTTTCTAAATAGCCCCGTGGTTAATGTGTTACAATATAAACCGAATACAGTCCCAACCCCGAAAAGCGTAACGCGATTTCGCTTCGTAAATCGCGAAACGTTTGACGAAACATGAAATCCCTTCCTAGAATTTCGCCCAGGGGCGTATTTCACGCGGTAACACCGTGAAACGTTGCCGACAAAATGATAAATAATCGCGCCGTTACAATACGATCGAATAATTCGCGTCATACGGTAATACTGTCCGTGGGGGCTTTTCGTTAGATAATTTAAAAAACGCAGGTGCGCAGGATGCGCGTAGTAAATTGTAGACGCGATCGGACAGCTGCGGCTCGTAAATATAAGCGGGGTAACAATCCCCGGATTCGAAAACGTTCGCGAACTCCGTACGAATCGATATCGTTCGCGTACGCGCCTTTCAAACTGGCGCACGTGTGCTCTCTCTAGGCAGCTTTTTTTTTTCCCCCTGCGGCCCTGTCGCGTGTTCAATAATCCCGCTCGAAATGCCAATTTTCGTATTTTACCGTCGTCGGAAATTCACCGCCCTGGGGGCGCTTGCCGTTCGGCCATTTTTTAATTCGTCGTTTACGTATTTTGTGAAATTGATCGATTTTGCCGTACCTTCGCGGGAGTATCGTCAACGGATTAGGGACATTCTTACGATTAAAATGAAACCGATCACGATTATATTCCAGTTTCTAGAATTTTATATATATTTATATTTAGTATTAGATATTTTTAAGTGCAAGAGAATACGTCGATACTCGAGCGGCACCGCTTTGAAGTACGGTCGCCGAGCAACATTGTATAATGATCATATTTAAGTAGAACTACGAATCTAGGGTTATTTATTTCCCTCCTTTCTTCTTATCTTCGATTTATTTAAAAAATACAGTAGACCATTAACCAGATATCTTTCATCCGAATAAGAGTGTGACGAAACCAGTTCAGGTTAGTCCGGTGTAACCCCAGTTTCCTCCCTTAATCGACGTGATTGATGAAAAGTATACGATCACCCCCGGAGGCGTTTGATAATTTTCTTCGGTTTCGACCGAGCTGTTTAGTTGGCTGCACTGGACGCACTTAGCGCGGGAGTTTAATTAAATTGACACGGGAACGGGAGGGCCACCGTTTGGAACGTGTACAGCTTGTTTTCGCGTGGCGATGGCGGAAAGTTTTCAATGGGAAGCGAACAGCTTCGTGGCTGCGGGAGTATACTAAGCTCGGATGGTAGTTCGAAGCTACTTTGGAAGGATGACAGCACTGGGGGCCGAATTGAAAGAATTCCAAACTTTCGGGGGAGCGTTTAGAAATGTAAATACACCTAAAGGTGAACAATATTCACTCCCCCAAAAAATGACCTCGGTATACAAATATCGCAACGCTATACATTTCAAATCAGATCTCCCAGAACCGGGTGAAACAAATTACAGAATCTAAACTTCACGTTATTTCGTAACTCAGATCTTTTTCTCTCCACTTTTCGCAACAATTCCATCCAAAAAAAAAAAAAAATCATTGCGTCGAAAAATCCTCCAGTCTTTCTTTACCGCGCATCATCTTGACCTGCAGCAAACCGCTTCCTCTGTTTCAAAGAAAAAAACGAAAAAAGTATCGGGGGAACAGAAGGCGTTCGAGCATTTCACGAATCGTAAGTCGCCGCGACGCGAGAAGCATCAAAGTCTCGTTAAACTAGTTTGAGCGTGGATCGAGGCACCTTCGACCCTTCGGCTGGAATATCCCCGCCTAGCCCGAGGCGTATACACGAAATTGTTTGCTGTTCTCGAATTCTGGGGTGCGGTGTACAGCCGGTGAAATTTTTTATCGCGCCCCTCGCTCTTTCCCGGGGCACCCTCTTGGCGTACACGCACGAAAATCGTCGCCCACCCGCCCCCCACCCCACCCTCGCCCCCTCCGCCCCACCGTCGCCCCCTCCGGGGATATCGAGGATCGTTGCACCAGGAACGAGCGTCTGCCCTTCGACGACACTCGTCGCGCCGAGCCATCGGTGATTTTCGCCTCTGGAAAGTACAGGGTGTCTCGTTCCGAGGGAAATATGCTTCGCGACCGGACTGCGTGGATGTTTATGCAAATGCATATTTTATATGCATACGTGGAAACGCGCGCTGGGACGCGAAATGCATCCTGGTATGCAAAATATGCGTACTTGTATGCGGGGAACGCGTGAACGTGCAGAAGGTATGCAAAACGTGCGGGTGTCGTCGTCGTTGAGCGGTAGACAATCCGGATCGTATATACGCGGCTTCGGAGACGGCCGTCGACGTTCCGGATCGCGTATATGCGACGCCGGGGAAGGAAAGTAGGCTGACGCGCGGCGCTCGCGGCGAGGGGTTAAATATGATTAAGTATTAATAGAAACAGTGGAATTACGGCGCGGGAAGCGCAAGGTTCAAGGCGAAGTCGCCGAGCGGAAGAGGCGGGGACTCGGTTAATCGCGCCCACGGCGATTCTCGATCACAGGCGCGGGACACGAAAATAGTCGATATTGAACTTGGCGATCGGTGTCACGATGAAAACCGTCCTTAAGACGGTTCTGCGTCACCGTTGAAAACCGTCGAGCTGCTCGCACGCTCGCGAAATATAACCAGCGTTCGCACCCACGCCTCTGTTCAAGCTCACGTACATGTACCCGCACGTCGTCGCGAAAAGAGAGCGGAAGTGGAAAGTAGGGAGGGAGGGGCCAGAGTATACTCGCACCAAACCGAAGAAAAAGACGGCCGAGGGAGGGGGTGTTCCGTGTAAATGTACCAGAAACAGCGCGAGGGAAGAAGGGCGGTAGGAACGGGGAGCTAAAAGGGAGGAAAAATCTAAAAAGCGAGACGGTGAAAAATTAAAAGAGGAGAGAACGCACGCGCGGCAGCGAGCTGGGCGAACGGGACGAAATGTAAAAATTAGAGGAGAGGTATCGAACAACGGAGCGCCGGGCAGAAAGAGAAATGAACTGTGCGCGAGCGTCGTGCCGGAGACAACAAAATGCGATAGGAACGGAAAAAAGGGCTCGCGGAGAAAGAAGAGACGCAGAGGAGCACAAGGGGAAGGAAGCTGCGACGCCAGCGGAGGGATGATGGGGAGAGAGAGAGAAAAAAAAAATCGCGCACAGTGGCCGAAGGTACCTGTGCACAGCGCAAGTTTCGTTGGTAAATACAGTGGGGCAATGGTGGCGCACCCGAGAGGTTTGTTAAGCGATATCCTTGCCGGTTACTACTGGAAAAACTGCCTGTGGGATTTAAGAAGACATTTTCCCTCGAAGAATGATACTGCCGGCCAGGGATATCTGGGATACTTCTGTTTCAAAGGAGAGGACAGCCAATGGGCATCCGTATTGCCAATAGGGAGACTGCAGAAATACCTGAGCTTATCTGTGACAATCTGAGAAGGTAGATACGTGGAACTTGGTCGCTGCTATTCGAAGAAACAGTGAGCTGTAGTCAAATGGTCCATCAGTGCCAGGAAGCGACACTACTCTTGCGACAAACACCATATTCGTATAATATTATACTTGTGTTATGCAATGAAATTCATATTGATTATACGATAATACTATGATATGAATATCGTATTATTCGAATATAGTGTCGCCTTGATAGCAATACAATACGAATGCCATTCCACACGCATCGATATACCCTGGTCGTCTCTAGTCCACTGATTCCTTAAAGTCTCTTCTCCCAAGTAGCATCGGTTCCTCCTTGAACTATCGACATCCTGCGCTCAAGGACACCCTCGTCCTCCCCCAGCAGTGTTCGTAACCTCACACCGACAACACGTCCACCGTCGCGTCGTCCCGGCAAGTCCCGTATAAATTATCAGGAAGATTTTATCACCGCTCGGAGGGCCTCGCGGCTGCGAGCGAAACGAGAGTATATTTCGCTGGCTGTTTCGTCTCCTTAGCGTAACATATTGCCGTGGGCTACCAATAAGAAGTGTTCCGTCGACGAAACAACCACGCCTTGCCTCCGCGCGGGGAAGGACAACGTGTCTAACCTCACCGCGTCGTTACATCCCGCGGGAGCGACACTCTCGCGACACACGAACCGCCACCAATCATCCCTCGCACCGCGTAGTTTGTCAGTTTTCTAAGGGCAACGGGAAAATTTGTCGACGCCCCAGGATATATGCGGCAACGTGAGTGGCTCGCATGGCCACTTGCGTTCGCGAATACCTAGGAGAAAGTTTGGGGAGAAGAGGTAGCCTAGAATTCTAGGGGAAGGTCATGGATGATTAGTTGGAACCATTGGTTTATTTGACGATTTTAAAAGTTCCTCCATTTTCGATTACTGGAGAGTCTAGGGTCCTCAGACTCATCTATAGAGGACCTTCCATTTTGGAGAACTAGTTCATTCTAGATCCTCAGACTCCTATTTATAGGGATCCCTCCATTTTGGAGAACTAGTTCATTCTAGATCCTCAGACTCCTATTTATAGGGATCCCTCCATTTTGGAGAACTAGTTCATTCTAGATCCTCAGACTCCTATTTATAGGGATCCCTCCATTTTCGAGTACTACTAAATCTATACGTTTGATGAACCCTTGGTGGGGAGCTAGGGCCCTTTCCTGGTCCCAATGAATCTAAATTCCTACGATTGAATCGAAAGAGTGATATCCACGAACTTCTACTGTACCAACCGTCCTCCATTTTCGTTTTATGAAATGAGCCCGGGTCCAAGAAATACCCGCTGGATTTATCACCCATTGGACTCGGTCGTTCGCGCGTAGGGGGCGCGGAACCCCGTTCTTTAGAGGCGGCTACGC